TCATTTGTCTTTGGCTTTCTTCCCGGGCCTCTTCGGGGCCTCTTCGCCCCCACCGGCCGAAGACGCCCCGTAGAGGGCCCCGAGACAGCCCAAGAGAACCCCAAGACGGCCCAAGAGGCGCCCAAGAGGGCCTCATGAACGCCTCCAGAGGGCCCCAATACGGCTCACGAAATCCCCTGAGACCGCCAGCAGGCCCCGAGAGGTCCCAACGTGTCCAAAGAGACCCCACAAGGCCCCCAAACGGCCCCCCAAAGGCCCCAGAAATTTTCAAAACTACACCCAAGAGATTCTACAGGCTTACGCCACATCCGCCGACCCCTTCTGTGAGTGTTGCGAGGCCAGGAGTTTCTGGCCAGCGGCGTCTTGTGTGAAGGTGCGGTGTCGCGCGCGGGTGGTGGCAGATACGTAGGGCGTCCAAATGTTTGCGTGATGCCGGTGGTCTGGGGCGTGTTTTGCGAGCGCCCTGCGTGCTGTGCACCCGGGTGCGGGGTGTCCTTCTGGGAGGTCGGCCTTTCGACCCGCAACTAACTGGAGGATCACCGGAAGACGAAAGGAGCAAGAGTAGTGTGCGGAAGCTGTGATCAGCGAGGCATCACCGCGAAAAATGTGGCAGATGAGTCGAAACGGGTGAAGAGGCTGTTGACGTTCGCAGCGCGCACGAAACAGTTCGCGCGGCAGCAGCACAATTAGCGCCGAGCAAGATAGTGAACACGTCGCGAGGAAGAGTAAGGCTGTATGCGCGGATTGCATTGTAGTTGGCTCGACGGCTCGCAATACGGAAGCGTCTGGGGGTCTTTTGGGGGCCTCCTGGGGGCCTCTTGGGGGCTCCTTGGGGCGTCTTGGCGGCCTCTTGGGGGCCTCTGGCGGCCTCTTGGGGCGCTCTTGGGGCCCCTTGGGACTCGTGGGGGCGGAAAGCTAGATTTTCGAATTTTTGGTTGCCCTCTTGGGCCCCTCTTGGTGCCGTCTTGGGTCCTTCTTGGGCCGTCATGGGGACCTCTTGGGCCGTCATGGGGCCATCTTGGGCCGTCGTGGGGCCGTCTTGGGGGCCTCTTGGGCCGTCTTGGGGCGTTTTTCGGGGCCTCTTGGGCCGTCTTGGAGCGTCGGAGAGCCCACGAGGCGAATTTGTGAAACATATACGTTTTACAAAAGAAATGAGCAAACTTTTGCGTTCAGGGACCCTCTTGGGGCGCATCTTGGAGGCCTCTTGGGGGCGTCTTGGGCCATCTGGAGGCCATCTCGGGTGTCTTCGATCGCTCTTGGGCTGTGTGGGACCATGTTGAGCTCTCTTGGAAGCCACTTGGAGCGGTCCTGGAGCGCTCTTGGGGCCGTCTTCGGGGCTATCTTTGGCCGTCTTCGGCGCTTCTGGAACCGTCTTGGCGCCTTTTGGGTTGTCTTGGGGCCCTCTTGGAGGCTTCTTGGACCGTCTTGGGGCGGTCTTTGGGGCCTCTTGGGCCGTCTGGGAGCGTCGGAAAGCCCAAAAGGCGAATGTGTGAAACATGTATGTTTTACGAAGGGAACGGGCCAATTTTTGCGTTTAGAGGCCCTCTTGGGGCGCATCTTGGATGCCTCTTGGGGCCTCTTGGGGGCATCCTGGACCGTCTGGAGGCCATCTTCGGTGTCTTTGATCGCTCTTGGACCGTCTGGGACCATATTAAGCTCTCTTGGGGGCCACTTGGGGCGCTCCTGGAACGCTCTTAGGGCCGTCTTCGGGGCCCTCTTGGGCCGTCTTGGACGCCTGTTGGGCCGTCTTGGGGCCCTCTTGGGCTATCTTGGGGCTTTTGGGGGCTTCTTGGGCCGTCTTGGGGCGGTCTTGGGGGCCTCTTGGGCCGCCTGGGAGCTGTACGTTTTACGAAGGGAAAAATAGCAAATTTCTGCGTCTAGGGACCCTCTTGGGGCGCATCTTGGGGGCCTCTTGGGGCCTCGTGTGGACCTCGTGGGCCGTGTTCGAGGCCTCTTGGCCCGTCTTGGGGTCATCTTGGGCGTCTTGGAGCGCTGGTTTGGCGTCTCGGGGCCCTCGTGGGCCGTCTTGGAGGCCTCTTGGGGCCTTCTTGGACCATCTTTAGGCCTTTTTGGGCCCAGAAGAGCCCGTGAGTCGCTCGGCGGGGGCACCCCCCCCCTCCAAATCGACCGGACCGGGCTCCCGGGGGAGGGGTTTGGGGAGGGGGGAGCATCTCACACGCCGATGATCCCCAAAGGGTCGGCGGATTTCCCTGAGCGTTCCCAAGGGACCCCAGCAGGCATCCAAGAGAGCTCGGACTCACAACCCAACCACGCTGGGGGTCGGGCGCACGACAGCCTCGGAAGTTACAAGAAGCCTCCCAGACCAACCCAATATCAAGACGGCCCGATTGGCCTCGCAAGGATCGGCGTTGGTGGATCCCTGCAAGACCTACTCCTGCTGCTCCTGCTGCTCCCCTGTGTCGACCCTGATCGTTCTGCTGTCGCTGTTGCTGCTTCCGTCGAGAAGGGCGATGGCGACGAGGGGCAGGGAACACGACGTCCTGGCCCCAATCAATCCCCAGTTAATTTCCTGTAAGTGGGGATCCTTGGCATCTGCGGCAATTGTCTCCTACCCCCGTGGTCTCACGACGAGATTTGTGCACGTGCCCAACTAGAACCGAAGCGCGAATCGCGCGCGTGGTTCTAGTGTGTGTGTGTGTGTGTGTGAATATAGAAATGTGTTTTCGCTGCTGCTTACGGCTGCGCCGCTGAGCTTGCTATCAGGGCGCCCGTGGGGCTCCGCTGTCACGCGCGCCGCACGTGGCTCCGTTGAATCCTGCCGGGAGGTGCCCCCGCGCGACGACGAGGGCTGCGCGTCGACCCGTGCGTGATCGAGCCAATCCGTCAGTGCAGTTTGCCTTCCGCCATCTCTTCCCGCTCAATGCGGCGAGGAACTGGGCCAGAAAGCGGCGTCCATGACTGACGTGTCCAGCCTCCCTCGTGGGGCGCTCCACGCGCCCAGGTGAGGACGCGTGCCCTTGTGCCCTCGCCTCTGCGGCCCGTCCTTTGCCGCTTTCACTGGTCGCACGCCGCCCAACACATCCCAATTTCGGGCTCCACTTATGATGTTCCAACCTACTTTAGCCTTGATCACCAGAGCGAATTTCGAGCACCAGAAAAGTACCCCAAAAATCAAGGATTTTCCCGTGTCGGACCCTGGGAGACACTCGTCCGACATTGTTTCGACACTCTTTCGACATTCTTTCGACACTTTTCCAGGTGCTCGAAATCATTTCTGGGATGTGGTCCTTAAGTACGATGGGAGCAACATAAGCCTCCAAGCGTCTTGCTTCCATTTACCACCCGTCCTTGACACATGTTTTCACTGTAGCGCGATGGCTTCGTCGGTGCCCTCGTGCTCCGGCTGGAGGGTCGGCGGCGGGGCGGCATCCGCGCGCCGCGGTTGTGCGGCAGGGCCCCGCGGCCGTCTCGCCGCCTCCGCGGGAGGCGTTGGAGGGCGCCTGGCGGTGTGCCAGGCGCCGGGGCTGTGAGCAAGGGCTCCCACGAGGGTGCGAAGTTCTTCGCGCTCCGCGGTCCTCGTTCCTTCTCCCCCTCCTCCTCGTCCTCCTTTTCTCCCTCTGGGGGGGCGGCGCGAGAGCGCGCTTCGCGGAGCGCGAAGCGCGAAGTTGGGAGCCCTAGTGTGAGGATGCGGGCAGGCCGCTGGATTTGGCGCAGGGTGGTGATTAGTCGGCGAGCTGGGTTGTTGAGCGTCGTGCCCCCTACCCTTCCGCGGGGCCCCTGTCGAGCCAGGGTGTATGTTTTGTAGGTTTTCTTGACGCTATTCTGTTCTCTCGTTTTTCCATTATCATTTTTTTATTCGTTTGGATTCCTCTTTCTTCCCTTATTTGTCTTATGTCCATCCTGCTCATTCTTCACAGTATGACTATCGTTATGTCTCTGAGACGATACTAATACGACTACTGATACAGAGTATTAGTGCTAGTATCACTAATCATTCGCATTCTTAAGTGTATTTCGATTGATTGCTGTTTCTATGATGATGATTTCTATTAGTTTTCTTGTTCTTCTTCTCTCCAGAGTCGCACCCCGCACCTGTCCCGGGGCAGGGTTTGACCAGCGCCTCGAGTGGGACCTGGCCGTGGTGACCAGAAGCTTTATGGAGGCCCAGGAAACACTGGGGAGATTGTGCGGAAGCACGCGTCGCACCCCGAGCCTCGGCCTTCGAACCACGCCGGCCTCGATCTGGTCGCGCGCTGGCTGCAAGAGCGCGCGGCGGTGGCCCGTGAACGTGCCCCCTGGAACGCCTGGACGAGTTAGCTGCCTGACCAGCCGCGACCTTCGCCGAGGAACGCGGCCGAGAAACACCGCCCTGCGGGGGGCGGGGCGGGCGGAGGAGGAGGAGGAGGAGGAGGAGGAGGAGGAGGAGGAGGAGGAGGAGGAGGAGGAGGAGGAGGAGGAGGAGGAGGAGGAGGGGGGAGGGGAGGAGGAGGGGAGGAGGGGAGGAGGAGGGGAGGAGGTGGAGGAGGAGGAGGAGGAGGAGGAGGAGGAGGAGGAGGAGGAGGAGGAGGAGGAGGAGGAGGAGGAGGAGGAGGAGGAGGAGGAGGAGGAGGAGGAGGAGGAGAGAGGTGGAGTGGAGTGGGAGGAGGAGGAGGAGGAGGAGGAGGAGGAGGAGGAGGAGGAGGAGGAGGAGGAGGAGGAGGAGGAGGAAGGGGAGGCGGAGGAGGAGGAGGAGGAGGAGGAGGAGGAGGAGGAGGAGGAGGAGGGAGGAGGAGGAGGAGGAGGGGGGCGGGGCGGGCGGGGCGAGCGGCCGCTCCCCCCTCGCGCCCAGTAGACTCCTCACGCCCTGCCGGCCGCCTCCGGCTCCGCCGCCGCCGCTGCCGCCGCTGCCGCCGCTGCCGCCGCTGCGGCCGCTGTCGGCGGCAGTGCCGTCGTCGCCGTCGCCGTCGTCAGTGCCCTCGTCGTCGTCGTCGTCGTCGTCGTCGTCGTCGTCGTCGTCGTCGTCGTCGTCGTCGTCGTCGTCTTCAGTGCCGTCCCTGCCGTCGAGGCTTCGCGAGGATGTCGTGCACGTGGGAGGACCTCGCCATAGACGACGGCCCCCAGGCGCCGGTCGACCTCGTGGGCATGCTCCTCGAGTGCGTGAGGAGGGGTCGTGGGGGGGCCGGGCGACGGAGACGGGCAGGAGGGGGGGGAGGAGGAGGAGGGGGGGAAGGAGAGAAACGGGGAGGGAGGAGGAGAGGAGGAGGAGGGGGGAGGAGGAGGATGAGGAGGAGGAGGAGGAGGAGGAGGAGGAGGAGGAGGAGGAGGAGGAGGAGGCGGAGGGGCATATCAGCAGTAGGGGTAGGATTTGGAGGAGGGCTGGGGATGATGATGATGAGGAGGAGGAGGAGGAGGAGGAGGAGGGGGAGAAGAATGCCGATGATGGTGATGATGAGGAGGAAGATGAGGATGGGCGCATCAGCATCGCATGCGGGCCGTAAGAGGAGGGGGGCTTCATTGTCATCGAGTGCGTGAGCAGGACCAACTTTAGGGATTGATTAAGACGATGATGCTGCTGATGATGATGACGACGATGCCGATGATGATGATGATGATGATGATGATGATGATGATGATGATGATGATGGTGATGATGATGATGATGATGATGTTGCTGGTGCTCATGCTTATGATGACGGTGTTGATTATGATGATGGTGATGATGATGGCGATGGTGATTGTGATGATGATGTTGATGATGCTGATGATCAGGACGATGATGCTGATACTGATGATGATGATAATGATGATGGTGATGCTGCAGCTGATAATGATGCTGGTGATGATAATGATGATGCTGGTGATGGTGATGTTGATGCTGATGCTAGTTATCGTAATGATGCTGCTGATGTTGATGCAGTGGAGGTGATCATGTCAATGTCCAGAATCATGATGATGGCGTTACTGCATGTTGAAGCTGCTGATGATTATGTCGATGATACTGACAATGGTGATGATGCTGATGCTGATGATGCTGATGATGGTGACGTTGATGAGCATCATGATGGTGCTTCTGCTGCTGCTGCTGATGATCACGATGACCCCGATGATGCTGGTGACGATGCTGATACTGATGATGATGATGATGATGACGATTATGATGCTGATGCTGATGATGATGATGATGATGATGATGCTGCTGATGTTGATGCTGATTATGATGATGATGATGATGATGATGATGATGATGATGATGATGATGATGATGATGATGGAGATGGAGATGGTGATGGTGATGGTGATGGTGATGATGATGGTGATGGTGATGATGATGATGATGATGATGATGATGATGGTTGTGATGATGATGATGATGATGATGATGATGATGATGATGATGATGATGATGATGATGGTGATGGTGATGGTGATGGTGATGATGATGCTGATGCTGATGCTGATGCTGATGTTGACGATGATGATGGTCATGATGCTGATGATGATGCTGATGCTGATGTTGATGCTGCTGCTGCTGCTGCTGCTGCTGATGATGATGATGATGATGATGATGATGATGATGATGATGATGATGATGGTCATGACGGTCTTGCTGAAGACGTTGTTGTTGATGGTGATGGTGATGACGCTGAGATGTGAAAGAGCGTGTTCCACCGCCGCTGCTGGCGGAAAGCCAGGGGGGGGTCACTATGGGTTCCCAACCCGTCCCCCCCCCCCTCGAAAACTAGGGGGGGCTACGGGTTCGGCCGCCCCCCTCGAAAACTGGGGGGGGACACTACCGGTTCGAACCTCCCCCCCTCCCCCCCCTCGCCGCTGGCAAACGATTCCCGCTCCTCGGGACAGTCGGACAGTGGTGAGGATATTGGGACAATGGTGGGACAATGATGGTGGGGACAGTGATGCGGGGACAGCGGGACAATGGTGCGGACAGTGGTGGGGACGGTGGTGGTGGGGACAGTGGTGAGGGGACAGTGGGACAGTGGTGGGGACAATGGGACAGTGGTGGGGACGGCAGTGGTGGGGACAGTGGTAAAGGCGGTGGTGAGGACGGTGGTGGGGCAGTAGTACAGTAGGGAGAGTGGTGGGGACAGTGGGGACAGTGGGGCACTGGTGGGGACAGTGGGGACAGTGGGACAGCACAGTGGGACAGCGGCGGGGACAGTGGGGACAGTGGGACAGTGGTTGGAACAGCGGGGACAGTGGGGACAGTGGTGGGGACCGTGGGGAAAGTGGGGAGAGTGGGACCGTGGTGGGACAATGGTGGGGAGAGTGGGGACAGTGAGACACTGGTGGGGACAGTGGTGGGGACAGTGGGGAGAAGGGTGGGAACAGTGGGGACAGTAGGACAGTGGTGGGGACCGGGACAGTGGTGTGGACGGTGGTGGTGGGGACAGTGGTGTGGTGACAATGGGAATGTGGCGGGGACAGTGGGACAGTGGTGGGGATAGTGGTGGTGGGAACAATCGTGAGGGCGGTGGCGAGGACGGTGGTGGGACAATGGGACAGAGGTACAGTGGGGACAGTGGTGGGGACAGTGGGGACAGTGGTGGGAACAGTGGGACAGCTCAGTGGGACAGCGGCGGGGACAGTGGGACAGTGGTGGGGACTGGGGACAGTGGGACAGTGATTGGGACCTTGGGGAAAGTGTGAGAGTGGAGCCGTGGTGGGAACAGTGGTGGGGACAGTGGGGGCAGTGCGACAGTGGTGGGGGCATTGGAGGGGACAGTGGGGACGGTGGTGGGAACAGGGAAAAGTGGTGGTGAGGACTGGTGCTGGGGGCAGCAGTGGGGGAAATGGTGCGCACGGTGGTGGGGACCTGGCAATCGTTTGCCGGCGCTGAGTGGGGGGGGGAGGGGTTCGAACCGGTAGTGACCCCCCCCCAGTTTTCTGGAGGGGGGGGCTCGAACCCGTAGTGACCCTCCCCAGTTTTCTGGAGGGGGGGGGAGGGGTTCGAACCGGTAGTGACCCCCCCCCGGTTTTCTGGACGGGGGGTGGCCGGTAGCGGTTTTCCGGAGAGGAGGGGGGAGGGGTTCGAACCGGTAGTGATCCCTCCCGGTTTTCCGTTTTCCGAAGGGGGGCGGGGGTTACGGGGGGGGGTGTTCTCGGGGGGAAGGGGGGGGGATTTTCAGAAGGGGGGGAGTCCCCGGGGTTCCGGAGGAAGAGGGGGTGGAATTTTCCACAGTAAAGCGGCGGTGGATCACGCTCTCTCTGAGATGTGGATGGCGCTGATGCTGATGATGATGAGGAGGATGATGCTGATGCCGATGGTGATGATGCTGATGATGCTGATGATGACGATGCTGCTGCTAATGATGATGATCATGATGCTGCTGCTGCTGCTGCTGCTGATGATGATGATGATGATGATGATGATGATGATGATGCTGATGCTGATGCTGATGCTGATGCTCATGCTGATGTTAATGATGATGTTAATGATCATGCTGATAATGGTTACGATACTTATGATGCTGCTGCTGCTGATGATGATGATGATGATCAGGACGGTGAGGTTGATGATGATGCTGATGGCGATGCTGATCATGATGCTGATGCTGATGATGATGCTGATGCTGATAACGGGGATGCTGCTGATGATGATTGTGATGATGATGCTGATGCTGATGATGGTGCTCTCTGATGCTGATGCTGCTGATGATGATGCTGCTGCTGATGATGATGATGATGATGATGATGATGATGATGCTGATCATGATGATGCTGATGATGCTGATGATGATGGTGGTGGTGGTGATGATGATGATGCTGCTGATGATGCTGCCGACGCTGACGCTGACGCTGACGCTGACGCTGACGCTGACGCTGACGCTGATGATGAGTAGGAGGGGAGGAGGAGGAGGAGGAGGAGGAGGAGGAGGAGGAGGAGGAGGAGGAGGAGGAGGAGGACGAGGCGAAGGGGGAGAAGGAGGATGAGAAGGTGGAGGAGGAGGACTTTGAGGATAATATGGAGGAGGATGTACAGGAGGAGAAGAAGGAGAAGGAGAAGGAGAAGGAAGAGGAGGAGGAGGAGGAGGAGGAGGAGAAGGAGGAAGGTGGGGGGAGGAGGAGGATGAGGAGCAGCAGCTGGAGCAGAAGCAGGAGCCGGAGCAGGAGGATGAGGAGGAGTTGGATGACGATGATGATGAGATGATGATGATGATGATGATGATGATGCTGATGCTGATGCTGATGCTGATGCTGATGATGATGATGCTGATGATGATGATGATGAGGATGATGATGATGATGATGATTATGCTGATGAGATGATGATTATGCTAATGATGATGATGATGACCGATGATGATGATGATGCTGATGATGATGCTGATGATGATGAGGATGAGGCTGATGATGCTGATGATGATGACGATGATGATGATGATGATGATGATGCTGATGTGATGATGCTGCTGCTGATGATGATGATGATGATGATGCTGATGATGATTGATGATGTGATGCTGATGATGATGATGATGATGAGATGATGATGATGATGATGATGATGATGATGATGAGGAGGGAGGAGGAGGAGGAGGAGAGGAGGAGGAGGAGGGGAGGAGGAGGAGGAGGAGGAGGAGGAGAGGAGGAGGAGGAGGAGGAGGGAGGAGGAGGAGGAGGAGGAGGTGGAGGAGGAGGAGGAGGAGGAGGACGAGGAGGAGGACGAGGCTGAGGAGAGGGAGGAGGAAGATGAGGAGGAGGAGGAGAAGGAGGGAGATGAGGATCAACGTGGGAGACATACAGAGAGGGCAAGGAACATCAGTTTAGGAGTAGCGCCTCGCGGGGGGTTCGCAAAGGGAGGGAAGGGAGAGGTGATGGAAGGTAGAGGGATGAAGGGGGAATGGAGGGGAGATGGAGAGGGATAGGATAGGGATAGGAGAGTAAATTGTCAGAGACGGGCGGGAGGGAAGGGGAGGGGAGGCCAGGACAGAGGGAGGGGAAGGGGAGGGCAACACGGTCGATCGCGAGGGTAGGGAAGAGCGCGGGAAGTGAGGATTGGCATCTCGGACGCCGTGGGACAGAGTGAGAAAGAGAGAAAGAGAGAGATAGAAGGAGAGAAAGAGAGAGAGAGAGAGAGAGAGAGAAGGAGAGAGTGGGAGAGCGCGCTCTCTCTCGCTCTCTCTCTCTCTCTCTCTCTCTTTACATCTAAGTTTGACCACACGTACCTATACGACCACCCTTCGGGTGATTAGGAGGTTGTGTGGGGGGAGAGAGAGGGAAGGGGGAACTAACATCTGACTCAATCGATCTCATCATCGATCTCACTCAACGGGACATTATAGGACACCACGGGACACCACGGGACCTCGGGACACCACATCGATCTCACTATCGATCTCACTATCTATCTCACTATTGATCTCACTCAACGGGACACCGCGGGACACCGCTGGACACCACGGGACACCACGGGACACCACGGGACACCGCGGGACACCGCGAGCCACCGCCGGACGGGCGGGCGGAGGAGAATCATTAGTCTTGACTTCGCCCTAGCAACGGCGGGTTCATTCCTCTCGCGCGCCCGCGCAGCTTCGTCGCGCCCGCACGCACGACACGAACGAAACGAAACGATTTCCCGGTTGGGGCTCTCCGTTCCACTGCGATCACGGATATATGTATATATATATATATGTATATGTGTATATATATATATATATATATATACAGATGCATTCGGTGTACTTCCGCAGGGGATTCGACCTCTGCCGCCGGGCTCCTCTCTACCAGAACGGGCTATACCATAGCTAAATTGGGATGCCCTGGCGCCGTCCTTAGGACATTCTGGAACATCATGCGAGGAGGACCGCCAATCAGCAAAACAGGTGGAGGTGTTGGAACTCTGGTTGAACGCTTTGCTGCGTTTCCCTCATGTTGCTATCGGGACTGTCTTGGGCTCCTTCGGACCAGCTTCCCTCCTCTTGGGCTGTTGCTCGTTGGACTGTTGCTGTCGGGACTGCTGCCCCTTGAGCCATTTTGGAACGACTGGGGGCTGTGTGAGGCCATCTTGGGAACATCGGGCGGTCGGGGCTGCCTTTTGGGCTTCGTGCCGTTGTCGCCACCCTCGAGGACTCGCGGCGGAGCGTCCAGGTAAGACGCGCTCCAGGAAACGGCGGGGGGGGGCGGAGAGCGCCGCCCGAACACGTGGCCCAACACGGAGCATGTCAGGTGTTCTGCGATGGGGATGGAGGGGGAGGGGGAGGAGATTGAGGAGGGGGAGGAGGAGGAGGAGGAGGAGGAGGAGGAGGAGGAGGAGGAGGAGGAGGAGGAGGAGTGAGGGTTGTTCTGGAGGACATGGGGGCCTCCTTGGGGATCCTGGGGGCACCTTGGGCCAGGGGCACTTCTAGCAACACCCGACCCTGGAACGGATTTATCTTCGTTCCGACCCGGGCCATCGCCGAACAAAAAACAAAGAATCTCCATTGGCCCCCTCCCGCCCGCCCGGCTTCAAGTAGATCGACCTTGCCATTTGTAAGTTTTGTCGGGTTGGAGGGGCCGTGCGAGGGAGAAAGATGCATGTGCCGCTTCGGCCCGAGCCGGAGGAGAATCCTGGGGTGCGATCGCTGCAGACCGGGCGCTCACCCGCACGCCCTGGCCCGGCCTCTGGAGAGCAACGTCAGAAAGGGAACCTCTCATTCTCATTCTCTTCCTCCTCCTCCTCCTCTCTCCTCCTCCTCCTCCTCCTCCTCCCTCCTCCTCCTCCTCCTCCTCCTCTCCTCCTCCTCCTCCTCCTCCTCCTCCCTCTCCTCCTCCTCCTCTCCTCCTCCTCCTCCTCCTCCTCCTCCCTCCTCCTCCTCCTCCTCCTCCTCCCCCTCCTCCTCCTCCTCCTCCTCCCCCTCCTCCTCCTCCCCCTCCTGCCCCTCCTCCTCCTCCTCCTCCTCCGCCTCCTCCTCCTCCTCCTCCTCCGGCCTCCCCCAACGGCACTGCTCCAGGGCCGACTGTCTCGACCACGCGTTCCTCGCGCGGCTGCCAGAGGGGCTGCTGCTCGCGGCGCTGCGCGCGTGGCAGGAGGCTGCCGCGGGGGTGGGGGCTGCCTGTCGGGCGCCGCCGCCGCCGCGCCCACGCAGGACCAGCAGGGAGGGAGGAAAGGGAGGAGGAAAGGGAGGAGGAGGAAAGGGAGGAGGAGGAAAGGGAGGAGGAGGAAAGGGAAGAGGAGGAAAGGAGGGAGGGAGGAGGAGGAGGAGGAGGAGGAGGAGGAGGAGGAGGAGGGGAGGAGGAGAATGGAGGAGGAGAGGAAGAGGAGGAGGAGGAGGAGGAGGAGGAGGAGGAGGATCCGGGCCTCCCAGATTGGGTCCGACCAGATGGTGTCGGTGGATCGCGCCACATCGCCGATGCATCGGCGATGCGGCTCGATGTGGAGCCTGATTTTCTCCATACGTGCGTCGCCGATGCATCGCCGACGTTGGCGATGCATCGTCAATGCATCTGCCATGCATCGGCGATGTGGCACGATCCATCGACCCTATCTACTCGGACCCCATTTGGGAGGCATCTAGAGGCGGAGTAGGAGGAAAAGGAGGACCAGGAGGAAAAGGAGGAAAACGAGGAACAGGATCGAGGAACAAACACAGTGGCCATGACCAGGATTTCGCAGGATCTCGTCGACGCTGGCCTTTGTCATGGTTCATGCCGGTCGCCGCCGATCCGCGAGGGTGATTCACGAATCGACGTAGCCAAGGTGGACGGTTATCAAAATCGACACCGACGTTTCTGCGTTCAGTCTCGTTCATGGTCATTTCTCTCCCTCCAGAGAAGGACGATGAGAAGAAGGAAACATGGGTGGGGACGCAGTAGGAGGAGGAGGAGGAGGAGGAGGAGGAGGAGGAGGAGGAGGAGGAGGAGGAGGAGGAGTTGGAGGAGGAGGAGGAGTAGAAGCAAAGCCGTCGCCTCCGTCGCCCCACCGACTGATTCATCATGACTGATCATTGTTACTGCTGGTGGCTTCTGTGATTCACAGCAGTACCACTTGCAGAGACTAACGTTGCACAATTTTGCACATGCACCTCTGACGTGGACGGCGTCTGTCTGTCTATCTCTCTTTCTCTCACTCTCTCTCTCTCTCCCCCTCTCTCTCTCTTTCTTCTCTCACTCTCTCGCTCCACCTTGTTTGTGCTGCTGGTGCCACTCCACTTCGTGATTACCGCACGGTGACGGACCGGGATGCAACTTGTGTGGTGGAAGCAATGCGGTGATTTCTATCTGTAGTGCAATCCATGTGGTACAGATCTTTGTGGGCCCTGGAAAGGGCAGGGCCGTTTTCTTACCGTTTCCAAAAACATGTCACTTGAAAATGTAAACGGCAAAAACACGGCGACCGGAAACGGCAGAAAACGGCTCCAGGATTGGAACCGGAGCCGGAACCGGTCCAAAAACGGCGACGGAACCGGTAAAATAACGGCGTCGGAACCGGCAACATAAACGGCAGAACGGAACCGGTAAAAAAACGGCCCTGTCGTTTCCAGGGCCCACTAAGGTACAGGCTTTGTGGCCCAGTCCATGTGGCGCAGCCCAGAGGGCGCAGCTCGTGCCCTGCAAACCCAACTGTGCGGTGCTGTGTGCTGGGTGCACTCCCAGGGCGGCGACCCGCGGGCACCGCTCGACAAGTGCGCGCCGTCGAGGGCGCGAAGCGAATCGCGCCGCGGCTCCGCTTCCGCCTCGTCCTCCTCTTCTCTCGGGGGTGGACAGAACCCCCAACAGTGACACGTCGATCAGTGAATTGTCCGTTTTCGGTTCTCGAGAGGGCGCCGTGGGCGTTCTGTTCCAGGCTTGCGCCCGCCAGGATGGGGCGCCTCAGGCCGTCTTCACCAGACCACGTTTTGCTAAAGGGGGCTCTGTCCATCCCCGGTTGCGGCAGGCGGGCGCGGACGAGCATCACGTCGGGCATGCGCCCCTCTCCAGGAGGAGAACGCAGAAATAGTAAAAGAATCGTCGGGGGATGTTTTTTTGTTATGGGGAATCCCCGATTCTCCTCGTGACTCGTGGTGGGCGGCGCGAGAGCGCGACGCTGCCCGCGCGCCGCCCTTCCGCGCCGCGCGAGAGCGCGGCGCCGGGCGCCCCTTTGGTGCAGCACGTGCGGGACAGCGGGCCGCCGTGCGGAGCAGCGACGCTGGCGGGCCACGGGCGGGCACCGGCCGGGAGCCCCCTGGCACAGCTCGGGAGCCTTGAGAGGGGGGTCAATGCAAACAGGGGTCAGCCAGGGCACCGGATCCTGCAGGATCCTGCGAAGACCCCCTCTGGCTGACCCGGGTGAGCGAGCCGCTCGTGGCCGCGAGGCGGCCGTGCCTATTGGCTGACCCGGGTTTGCGAAGACCTGCGTTGCAGTTTTTTTTTTCCTGCATTGCAGTTTTTGGTTTCCCGCTGACCCGGGTCTGGATTGACCCGGGCCAGAAGATCTCCGAACAGCGCACGGAGAGAGGCGACGAGAGGGGGCGACGGGACGGCATCGACTAGACGTAAGAGTGACCTTTCGCCGGAGTGACCTGTGGTGCGGGCCCCATGGGGTCCCCCGAGAACGCGAAGCGGCAGTGGCGTCTTGCGCGCTTGTGTTTGGCCCCCCCGTGGACCCCAAAAAGCCGCGCACCAAAGGTCACTCTTACCCAGGGTCACTCTTGCGTGTAGTCGACGGCACGAGGCGAAAGCCAGCAGCATCCCAGCCAGGAGCTCCTCGCCTCCCGTCGTTTTGGATGGCCGCAGTCGGCGGCGATCGAGCGGGGGAGGCGAGATGGGGCGGGGCTTCTCGGAAGAGGGGGCGGGGCTTCTCGGAAGCGCTCGCGCCTGCTGAGAGGTGGTCGGTGTCTCCCGGGGAGGCTTGGGACACTCCTCAGAAGGCTGGGGGACTTCCGAGCCTTCGGAGAACGCCTTCTCTTTCTCGCTTCCCTTCCGGGCTCGCCGCTGACTCAGGTCCATCCGGATCAGAGCATTCAAGCGTGGCTCATTGTTTGCTCCAGTGGTATCCCCGATGGTGATCGTTCTGGAGTTTGTTTTTGTTGGGGGCACATCGGGGGGGTCAACAGTGGCCTCCTCCCCCATCTCCCTCCCCCCCCTGCATCGCCCTCTGCACACCCAAGACGACGTGAATCTTTCATGACGTAGGCACGCGAAGGTCTTGATCTTTCCCCCAAGCATTTTTTCCATAGTGAGTTTGTTTGTTGACGATCCCGGGGCCCAGCAAGGGCCCCCAGATGCCGAACATGGTCTATGTATTCCGTCGGGTATGAGGATTTAAATCCGACCCCCAGATTTGTCCAGCCCTTCCAGTCAGCTTGGAATTAGGTGACAGGGAGCCCTAGCCAGGGCGAAGCAGGAGGGAGTTCCCCAGGGTGTGCTTAGTGTTTGTTCTTCAAGGGAAGCCTAAACCTAGCCTGGATCGCCCCTTCCTACCCTATGTGTGTGTGTGCGTGTGTGTGTGTGTGTGTGTGTGCGTGTGCGTGTGCGTGTGCGTGTGCGTGTGCGTGTGCGTGTGCGTGTGCGTGTGCGTGTGCGTGTGCGTGTGCGTGTGCGTGTGCGTGTGCGTGTGCGTGTGCGTGTGCGTGTGCGTGTGCGTGTGCGTGTGCGTGTGCGTGTGTGTGTGTGCGTGTGTGTGTGTGTGTGTGTGTGTGTGTGTGTGTGTGTGTGTGTGTGCGTGCGTGCGTGCGTGCGTGAGTGCGTGCGCTGCGTGCGTGCGTGTGTGCGTGTGTGGTGTGGTGTGGTGTGTGCGTGTGTGCGTGCGTGCGTGCGTGCGTGCGTGCGTGCGTGCGTGCGTGCGTGCGTGCGTGCGTGCGTGCGTGCGTGCGTGCGTGCGTGCGTGTGTGTGTGTGTGTGTGGTGTGTGGTGTGTGTGTGTGTGTGTGTGTGTGTGTGTGGTGTGGTGTGTGTGTGTGTGGGGGTGGGTGGGTGGGTGGGGGGGGGGGTGAATGATGTTGAATCTGCATCGATGGTGCCACATATTGTGACTACGGTTGCCTCTGCGTCTGCTACCTCGCGGCCTCCTGCGGGGCTGACTTCGTCAACGGTACACCCATCGTCCTCATCTCGACATTAGCCAGTTGTAATTAGTGATAGCACGCGTTCTCCTGGGGCTCTTCCTGGGTCCTCGACCTCGGCCCTCGGTCGTTTCGAGGCCCGGCGATCTCCTCTCGCTCGCCGTTGCGCTCCTCCTCCTCCTCCGCCCGCGTTTCGTGGTAGTGAGCGATTTCTAGAGCTACAGCGTCGTGGTGCACTCCCCACTCCTGCCTCGGAGCCTCTCGGGCGGGTGCTTCGGGCGTTTCTTTGGTGGCGCGTTCGGCCACGCCGAATACCGTTGCTTGAACGGGAAGTGCACACGATTCTCAGATTGTCTTTGTTGCGCAGGCACGTGCGAAGGTAGCGAGTCGGAGGGGTAAGAGTTCGGGTCCGCGGGGGCCTGCCTAGTGCCCTGCTGGGCGCTGCTGTGGGAAGGGTTGGTGCCATGAGTCGCCCACTGGGATTTTCCTCCAATGGGGTCGTCTCTGGGCTAGAGCGTTTTCCCCGCCAACAGGGCTTTTCGTGTGGAAAGTTGGCCACTGTTGCCACTTAGGTCCAAACTGCTTTTCGTCTCGTAAGTCGGGGAGACTTTGGGTCCGATAGTTCTTTGCTTTGCTTTTGCTCCCCCTCCTCCTCCCCCTCCTCCCCCTCCTCCTCCTTATCTTCCTTCTCCTCCTCCTCCTCCTCCTCCTCTCTCCTCCTTCTCCCCCTCCTCCGCCCCCCCTCCTCCTCAGTCGTGGGCAGGGAACATGTCCATCTATCCACGGCCTCGCGGGCCGGGCGCCTGGGCCCCGGCCCGCCGTAAAACGATCCTAGAGAAAGACCGAACCGTTGTGCAATTGTGCGAGCTGCAAGGCAGGTGGGACACTGGAGGGTAAGCACACGCCTCGTGGCCCCGAAGGGATCTCCACCGAAGGCCCCAGTGGCAGCGTACGCGTGGTGGCACCGCTCAATTTCGGCGAATCCCTCACACGTGTCGTGGCCCCAAATGGGAGCTCCAAAAGCGGCTCCATGGGCAAAGCTCGCGTGGCA